ATTGGCAGCTGAAAATATCTGCAGCGCAGCGAGCAGCTCTGGATGTGGACACAGCCAGTTAGAGAATTCAAGTTTCCACAACAAACTGTGTGGATACGTAGAAAGAAAGTTGCAAACATGAGGATGAAAATGCAAAGAACTCAATGACGAAGACGGACATGTTCTGTCTAATCCAACTTTGGTAAAGTATGAGACTAATCCTCTCAAGGTCTCCTTGTTGTCACAGCAGTCAGTGTTGCTGCCTCACAGCAAAAACATCAGTTCATGTTTAACCTTGGACAGATGAACTTCTCTATGTGAAACTAACATGATGTGTGGGAGTCTGCAGTTTCGGAGCAATCCTGAATGTAATCACCCTGACATTCTTTTATTTCTTTTATTATGATAAGTAGGGACACACTGTCCCACTGTCTCTCTCCTCAGGTCCAGCCATCATCGGGTTTAGGTCTTTAAGCTGCTCATTAATGAAGATATTTTATTGTTGACCGAGTGATATCTCAGCAATTAATTAACAATTAATGCGAGACGACAATCTCAACAATTAATTAACAATTAATGCGAGACGACCCAGAGAAAAAAACCTCTTGTGACCCACCTGAGGGTCGCGACCCACTCTTTGGGAAAGCATAATGTAAAATGCTGAGTTGACTTCTTTTGTTTGTGCTCATATGGACGTGAACATATTTCAAAGTACAATAAACAATGAAGCTGAACTTGGCTGAGGACTGTATGAACGTAAGCAGTTTGAAAAAAAAAAAGTAGAAACGACGACCGTTTGGGAGCACAAAGAGAGGACAAGGTGGTCACATTTTTATGTTGTTTATGTCCATTTGTCTCCCCGCGTTGGCGTGAGGCTGGGAGTTTGCTTGTATGTTAGTGGGTCACACAGTGACTGTGTGTTAAGGGGACAAGAGTTCTAGCAAGATTAATGGAGTCAATCTCCACAGCTATCCAGCAGAGTGACCATCGCCTCCCTATCACCCTCTCTCTCCCCCTCCTGTGCTGTTCCCCATCCCTCCTCCCCCAGCGCTGCGCTGTTCCCCTGCGCTGTTCCCCATCCCTCCTCCCCCAGCGCCACTTTCCCCTCGGTCTCACTCTAATTAAATGAATCAATCAGTGGCGACACCAAAGCCGGACGGATCAGCAGCAACTTGGGCTCAGGGTATGCATGTTGGGGGCACTGAGTACGGCTTTTGCAAGAGGGAAGGAAAACGATCGCAACAAGAGGTGGAATGAGAGGGAAACCAATAAACAACACGTTAAAAAAAAATAAAAACACAGAACAAAAGCTAGTTATTAAACAAGCAGAACCTGCGAGGAACAACAAGAGCTTTGTTAACCAACACAGCTCTTCCGGTGACTTATCAGCTCAGAACATGCTCTCACACACAATCATGAGAAGACTGTAACCTTCCCACTGAACTATATATCGTCTCAGTCAAACCATTATCTCACCTATTCCTATTGCACCAAATAGAGGCAGTGTCAGTCTTATAAACATGCCATTATAATGCAGTATATAAACACGACATATATATGTGCAGTACTTGACACTTCTGGTGCACGGTGATAGTCAAATCACCGTCTGTATCAACACTACTTATTAACCTAAGCAAGGATTTTATGCAAACGGCTGTCTGTGGAAGCGGCCCGTCGGCACATTCACCTTGACTCATTCACACCTTTCCCACAAAGTCATTTTTTTTCTATTTTTGCCAGAGCGATATCACTGACCCGGGGTCAAATTATTCATATGACAGTTGTTTTTAATAACATGGGTACACTCCCAAAAGTTAATGCTATGGAAACCACGGTCTGAGACTCTGACGTCATCCTGTATCATATATTGTAGCTGAATATAATAAGAAATTGTCTTCATAAAGATTGAAATTGTATGCAAATACTAATGTTTTACTGTGATTGAAGCCGGTGCAGTTCCGCTGTTTTATTTTCTTTTTTATGATAAAGTAGACTATATTGAAAGTAAAATATTAAGGTCAAATATATATCAACTTTTTATTTTTTTATTTAAGAAGCACAGGTTTTAAAATAACTAGAAAGTAGGGATGTTTGATATTAAATTTTGCTGATATGCCGCTAGTGTCCAAACACCTAATTACCGATTCCGATATCAACCGATAGTGATATATGTAGCCGTTTGGGTTAAAGGCGGAGGACACATTTCATTGTGGTGTGCTGTGAATAATACCAAAGATAGTTTCACATTCACTTCAAAACTATTTTAGGTTACACATCAATTGGCAAAACCCAGGTTTCCTTTAAAAAAACCCATAACGATTCTTACCGATATTACATAATTAAGCTAATATCAGCTGAAAATACTAAGAGATAGTCCACATAAAGACCTTGCTAAAATTTGGCAAAAGAATGTTACAATATTATAAATATCTGAGAAGCAATAGTGGGCCACAATAAACCTGTCAAAGTACCACATCTGGCCCGATGGCCAGACTTTGGACACACTATAAAGAAACAAAGGACATAAACGTGCGCTGACATATGCAAGGGTGCCGTAAAATTTCACGTAGTGGACCACAATAAACCTGTCAAAGTACCACATCTGGCCCGATGGCCAGACTTTGGACACACTATAAAGAAACAAAGGACATAAACGTGCGCTGACATATGCAAGGGTGCCGTAAAATTTCACGTATGGCTCTGAACTCCTCGGTGTCATCCCGAAACAGACAAAACAGCACACGCTAAACGCTAATGTCCTCCTCCTTCAGTTCAAACCGCAGCAGACATTAATGTGCGCTTCAACGGCTGCAGAGAGCAGATGCGTCTATAAAATGTGCTCCCCTATGGTTACCCTTGTATGCTGCTGCAGCCAAGGTGTGTGAGAGAGAGTGTGTTTAATGTGGTGTAGCAATACTGAGCTCTCTCTCTCTCTCTCTCCTGTCAGCCATGACGGTCCTGATGCCAGTGGTGTGTGTCTGTCTCTGATAACACCTGGCACACCAAGTACCACAGCACTTAAACGGAGCACATACAGTACTGTACGTGTGTGTGTGTGTGTGTGTGTGCACTGTGGCTGCACAGACACGTTGATGCATCTGCTCAATTATTGGAAAGTTTAGTGACCATTACATCATTCTGTCTAATCATAATTTCTCATTTCTCACTGCAGTCACATGGTTGGGCAGATTTATTTTCTGGCGTCTGACATGAAACTACTTTGTTTAAAAGCAGTCCAGAAACTTTGTTACTTTCTTAATTGGATATTTTACACTTAATATTTCATTTTGTAATACTTTTTGTATTATATTTTATTAATATACAAAGTCGATTTTCTTGCATGTTTGAATACAACTGGTAATAAATATAAATTGGGATTCTGATTTAAATTCCATAAAAAAACTACAGATTTTTTTTTTTCATTTTTTCCATTGAATGTTTAAATAAACAAACTTTTATGAAAATCAAAATGGTACTTTTTGGATAAACACATTTATTAGACTGACCACAATCACAGGAGAGGGACTGCATCACAGAGAAGAGATGGAAAGTTATCAAACTCCGGTCCAAAAAACCCAATCATGTGGGTAGAGAAACAGACGTACGGCATGAAAGCTCGCACACAAATGCCATTTGGACTCTCAAATGTCAACTGCAGGAGATGGAGAAGAAGAGCGAAGAGCTTTTTTATTTAGCCCAATTAAAAAAGGCAAAAAGCCCAAACAAAAGAAGTGTTTTATTGCACTCCCCGCGATCAGCAGAAAGGCTCATTAGCCACAGCAGCATAATTAGCAAGATGCTGCAGTCCTCGTTACGGAGGGGCCCGAGCTGTAAACAAACAGTGCCCACGGACTCTCTGCCGCTCTGTGTAATGAACTGCCACCTCTGTTCCCTCCCTGTGAGAATAGCAGGCACACAGACTGGTAAGGCTCTGACAGAAACAAACACACCACAAAATGAAGAGGACACACACACACACACACACCTACACTACACCAGCGGTCTGCTATACAAACACAATACAAACAAAATGCGTCTGTGGGCTTTGACAAACACACACCTACGCATATCACACGGTGACGTGTCAAAAAAAAAAAAGCGTACGTGAAAGATACATTTCTACAATGCTGTAGACGGAGAGCAATCATCAACAGAATCTGACAGCTGAGACACAGAAACATCTTGCCAAATGCCTGGATCTTGACATTGGCACTGCTGTTGTTTTCAAGCTGCCAGGAGCCTGTTTTGAATAAGCCAAAATTAGCAGCCCGTAGCCAGTGACACAGTCAATATAAGTTCATTAGAGACCGAGCACCAAAGTTAAGACAAAGTCTGACTTAAAATGACAGAGACCATGGTGCACAAAAGGTCATAGAAATCACTCCAGAGGTGTTTTATTAGTCACAAATAATCGCGATTAATCGTGATTTAACCATTTGAAAGCTCTCGGAGCCTGGCAGCAAGCCTGTGATACTTTTCCGAAGACACAGTGGAATGACACAGTATCCCATGTGTGTATGTCTTTGTATAATATATAAACATATATCCATTCATCCAGTGGCGCTTTGGCCCAGAGGCAATGTCTCTGTCATTGGGGTGGAACCCCAGGGTTCACCTCCTCGGCAAGTTCGAATCCCGGTTAGGGCGGTTGGTACCTTCCAGTGGACTCACCACCCGCAGGAAGGTTTAGGGGGGGTTGGTACGGTGCAGTGTGATTTGGGTGGAGACTGCTGCCCCCATGACCCGGTAACGGATAAGCGGATGAAAATGGATGGATGGATGGATATCGATTCATCCATCCATTTTCATCTGCTTATCCGTTACCGGGTCGCGGGGGCAACAGTCTCCACGACCGCCACCCAAATCACACTGCATCGAAACTTCCTGTGGTTGGTGAGTCCACTGGGAGGTAACAACTGCACCAAACCGGATTCAATCTTGGCCCAGGACATTGCCTCTGGGCCGAAGTGCCACATGTATCTGACATATATTCAAATATCACCAGTAAAATGTTGTCTTACCTGCAGCAGAGGTCTCTGAACACCTAGCACCTTCATGGTGTCAGCACTTGCGAGCATCTGCAGTGGGCTGCCTTGCTCACTGCCACGATGTCCTTGTTGATCTCTGTCCGCACCTAAAGGTTGAGTCGGTGGCTGTAGTTAATCAGGCCTTTTCTGAGAGAACGACTCAATCTTTTATTACCTCGTATTTCCTTCCCCGCTTTTTCCGTTTGTGTTGTTTTTTTTTTTAACCTTAGGTTTGATTTGACATTTCATTTGACATTATCTTGCCTTGTGGCAATTCAGGCGGGAAACCACTCACTGGTTGGGTAAGAACAGGTATCGAGTAAAAGTAATATCAAGAAGATTAAGTAAAGCAATAGTCACAACCATAAAGTCATTGTGTGTTTTAGTGCTATTAGAAAAAACACGAGACCCCGAGGGGGTAAAAGAAGAACATTCAGGTCAATTGATTTCAGGACTGTAAGCCCTACATCGCAGCAGTAGATTTTTCGCAATATGGCAAAAAAGGTTTCCCACTACTGGGTGACATGTAAAGACGGACTATTTTCATGACAGATTGAAGAAAAACTTGTTTTTTTTTATATGAAATAAAAATCAATCTTGTATTTAGTGATAACAGAGCCCCAGAGCTGAGGTATTTGAAAGAGAAAATGTCATTTCCTCAGAAAAACTCCCAGGTTTCACTAAAGCACAGCTCTGAGCTTCACACATCACTTTGCATCTGTCATTTCACTAACCTGGTTGAGGAAGAGGTCATTGATGTAGTAGGTGAGAAAAGCTCGAAGCTGACACTGCTTGGCCTGGCCCGGCCCCATGTTCATCTCTATCTCCTGGATGAATCTGCACAGAGGAGTCACATGGGGGGAAAAAAAACAGTGAGCACACCAGCAGTAAAGTGAGGTGAATTAACCACTGAAAATTTTGTTGACATTATTAAAACAGTAAAGCACAGGGTGGCGAGCCTGAGATAGATCCAGATGTTTCCTGGACTCGGTCTCTCAGTACACCTAAACGTCTTCATCCAAAGCTCCAGTAAAAGAAACTACAAACCGGTTTTATTCACACACTGACTGCGGTAAAAGTGCTCTTTAAATATATCTGAGACGCCAGATGTCTGATCGGTCAGATTCTGGGTTCGACAGTTATGTATGGGTTGGTGGAGGCCCGACGCACACCTCGTTTGTCAGGGAATGGTTGGTCACTGGCCTCGTCTCACACCCACCACGCAACAGTGAGCGCCTGCTCAAGCGCTCAGTACGAACGAATGCACAAATAAATCAAAAAATGATTCTTTGACCTGCAGGACCTGTCATACATATGATCAACGGTACAGTCGGAGAGAGCAAGATCTGAGTGGGAAAGGTGAAGGTGTAGGAAAAATCTTTTATGTGATTGGAGAAAGATTCAAGAGGACAGTCATTTGTAATAGAGTGGAGAGGTATCTCAGTTAGAACAAACGTATCCGGAGGTTGGATGGAGACAGCTGTTGTGATGACTGAACTCCTGGGAAACATGATGCGAGACGACCCAAAATAAAATCTCTTGCGACCCACCTGAGGGTCACGACCCAGTCTTTGGGAAACAATGATCTAAGAAACACACAGTGGATCAGGTGAATATAAATCATCGAGTAAGTAATGGAGCCAGAACTATTTCTACAATCCTGCACTGATATCTGCTGAAAAGCTATGACAACAGAATTTTAAGTTAGAGAAACTTTCCTGTGCGCCTCTTGAGAACTGTCAAGCATGCAAAACAATGAGGCCCAGATATACAACTTGTCCGTATGAGTAGTAGTAGTTGAAAAAAGTACTACTTCAACACAAACTCCTTACAAAAAATAAGTATGATTTTTGCTGACAGCTTCATTTTCAGAGAAAAAAAAAATCAATCCCAGGACGAATATTGCTGGTTTAAACCTGTGTCGCTGTGTTCTGAGATCCATCTCGCGCCGTCGTTATTGTCATTGTTTCAATACAAGTGGCAGGATGATGGATCTTCAAGTTAGCATGTGAGCACAGATGGATTTTTGTGGGCAGGGGCAATAACATTTGAGTAATGTGGCAGGGACGAGACACTAAAAGTGCTTTTGTCTTTCCAGGCGGCCATCTGGAGCAGAGCGGCACGCAACTTCACCAGCCTATTGAGCCCACGGGTGTTTCAAGGATGTTTTGCCAAGGTAACTGGGCTAAGAGTACGTTTGGGGCTCACAACGCCTCCGAAAGAACTTGTCAGCAAATGTACGTTTTGAAGTGGAAAAAAAAAAAAGTTGGGTGATTTGACATTAAAACCAAATGTTCTGCCGGATGATGGAGAGAATTCTTTTAGACTGTAAAGTCATTAGCTGCTGCAATTGGATACATAACACGGGGCCAGGCGGAGCACAGCTTAAAGATTTCCAAATGGATTCTTAAAGGAAATGTCTCCCAGCTCATCCTCATTAGCGACGCATCCGCGCAACATCTGCCTCACCGATGGAACGGCGTACTGTACAGAGAGTAACAGCTTCTCGTGTGTCGATGAAAGGGGGCAATAACAAATGACACCGTACGAGCGAGTGCACAAACACAAAATATACATAAGCCAACCACATGTCTCGATTCCAAATGGGTCACAAACCTTCCAAAATCACTAGAGCTTCATGCTCCGAAGGCTGTGTGCCGTGCAAGGCCGTGTGCACAAAACAACCTTCGGATCCAAACCCTCCTACTCAAAAAGGTGGAGACAAACTGACCTCTTACCACATCATCACAGCTCAGCTGAGTTTAGCTCTCAAGGCTATATCTGAGCTCGACTTCACAATTCATCAAGAGAGACCACTTCTCCAGTTCTGCCTTCTTCACTTGTGTATTCAGTTTTTACTGTTGCCTTTAGCTTTTGTAATAGGCAGAAATTCAGGCAGAAATAACAAGACCTGTACAGGACTCTGAGAAAGATGTTCCTTCATGAAACTAGAACAACAGCCAGGGCCAAAAAATTAGAAAAATATTAATCTGATTCAGAGCCTTTTTTTTGTCATTTTGAAGTGGTTTCCTGTTTCGGGTGAAAAGACATTAATAAAATAAAACATTATGAAAGACAATCACAAGAGAGCATGATGCATGAAAGACTATTCTAAGTAGGGATGGTTCGATCTGATGCTGCAGATCAACATCTGTCCGATATTGGTCAAAAATCCAGGATTAAACACAGCAAAACAAGTCCAAACGCTCAATTTATCTTTCTGCAACATGCCATAAACAGGGATACTATTGGCACAGCACCAGCAGCCCATGGCATGCTGAAGGAGATACTTGATACTCCAAGTTGCAGTATTGGTATTGGTATCGAGTCATCAAAAAAAAAACGATAAAAAAAATCGTGAAAAAATCTGTGAAATACAAGTTTCAGAAAAGGATCAAAAAAATCGTGAAAAAAATCTGTGAAATACAAGTTTCAGAAATAAACAGCAAAACATTTACTATATTCATCCATTCCATGGCACCGACATATTAAGTGTTATTGTAAAATAACAACACAAATGTCTGAATAGTACAGTATAGTAAAAGATCTTATTGTATCTAGCTCTAAAGTGAAGTCTGTCCATACCAGTCCCTGAGAGATTTTTATCAAGTCTCCCACCGACCCCTTTGTAATGACAGTGCTGTCAGTGCTGGGTTCCAATTAAGCCTGGCTGGATGAATGCCTCTGCGTGAAAGTCAATTCAATCATCGTCTGATGGCCTCCATTTATATGTAACTGCATCCACTTTACCTTATGAGGCTGTTGTAATTAAATACGACGTGACATTAACAGTGTCACTTTGATTGCCAGGTGACAACAACACACACACACACTAGTCAACCATATGGCAGCAGTGTGCGCCAGAGGCGAAGCTAGAATTACTGTAAGACGATGGAGGGGAAAAAGCCACGGAGACACAGCGGCAGCAGCAGCAGCAGCATCAGTGCAGGGGTGAGTCCACACTCACCACCGTGTGCAGAACCTGGTGGCCTCAAATAATCTCCTTATCTGCCCTCTGACACGTGCCATTTCCAAACGGCTTCATACACAAAGACCAGCGGGAAGTAAAGGTTGTTACAGCAAAGCAGTCGGGACCGGATCATAATAAGGGCAACGGCGTCAAGCAGAGGGTTTTTGGGTTTATTTACTAAAAATAACATTTGTTTTTGTTGCTCATGAATGAAGTTTAAATGTCCATTCAACTACGGGAAATAGTTTAAGTTGAATGGTTAAATCTGTTCACGTGTCTTCTACAGTGAAGATCCTTTACAAAAATCTGTGTCTTCTACAGTGAAGATCCTTTACAGACAGCTCAACCTTCTTCTTCTTAGACTTTAGTATAAAGAAAGGAAAAAAACATATTTTGCTGTTGGCAAGCAAGTGAAATGCTGCACGGGTGTGGACGTTTTGCAAAATCTATCCATCCGTCAACACAAGGTTCAACCAGTGCATATGCATGAACGCCTGCTTTGTTTTATTTGTTATATATAATATATATGTATACATATATATGTATACGTACCTATATATGTACAGTGGAATCCATCCATCCATTTTCATCCGCTTCCTATATATGTACAGTGGACATACAGTGGAATCTTGGTTTTCAAATTGAATTTGTTCCTGAAGGTCGTTCGTAAAAAAAAAACTTTAACGTAAAATGTATTAATCCGTTCCTTGACTCCAGATGGTTGCTTTTGTAAGTGTTTTGTGAACAGGTCGCACACGAAACTACTGAAAATAATTTGATCTAACAAAATTCTGTTAAAATTCAAGTATAAATTTATTTAGTTAGAAGTTAGAAGTTAGTTTTTGCCTTTCAGTTACTGAGAGACTATTAATGCCTCTGTGCCTGTGCAGGATCAAAGTGCTGCCGACTGTCACTTTGGCAAAAGTTTCAAATGGATCCACTGTTTATTTCTTTGGAAAACATATTACTGTACAGTCGATCTCTAACCCTTCCCTGATGACTTTAAACCAACAACATGCAGCATCTCACTCACGTGTTTCTGTTGAAATGTGTACATATTTCCTAGTCCTACAGTTGTAGATCACATCTCTGTCTGTACTACAGCAGCACACACTGACACTCAATCACACAGAGTATGCAATCACAGTACTGCACCCACCTTCAGGTGCTCCATGTTATCTCCATTCACACTCTAAACCCAGTTTCTTTGCAGCAACTGCCAATGATTGCATTTGGCAGCTTGTAATTATCTGTCATTAGGAAACAGATGTCAGAGCCCGGGGTCTGCGGCAGGATAATTGTAGATGCTATGCCCTTTGTGTATGTATGTCAAGAAATAACACTCCTGAATGGATTTGAATGAATTTATACCAACAGGGATTTGGCTAATGAGGGAACCTGGTGCCCCCTAATGACACTGTGATTATTCAGAGAACGCATAGGTTGGATTATTTTTAGGATCCCTGGAACAAAAGACAGAGAAAACTAAGATTCACAGCACAATTGTGAATCTGTTTCCCTGTGGACACTAAACAAAAAATACCACTTTTTTTTTTTTCAAAGAAAAGAAGTGGTTGAGATCCTGTCATCCATCTTTATCTGCAGCGCTGTAATGGCACTGAAAAAGAAACGGGATAAAGACAAAGATTTTAGAAAGACAGCAGAATGAGAGTGTGCTAGGATCGATGAGAGACTCAGCATTTTCAAATCTCCCAGAATTCTCCTCAGGCACGAATCTATCAGCTATGGTGCATTCTGATTTCGCCGCGTAGAGAGGGAGGGCTTGATCTGTAAAGACTTGTCACACATCAAGGACAGGACACAGTGAACCAGTTCCAGCCCAGAGAGGAGGGAGAGCGAGAGTGAG